GAATTGTGTCCGTGCTGCTTCATGTGATGGTGGCAACCTCTGTCTTCTCCCACCTAGTACCACACAGACAGTCTTGTCACTTACCTGCCAAATGCCACGTGGCTCTGCAAAGCCAACTCGTTTGGCAGGGTTTTGAGACAGAGACGACCTGAAGGTCAGCCCATCAGCAGCTGCCTCCCCAGCCTCCCCCACCCAAGCCAATGTGAGAAGTGACCCTAATGAGACTGGGGCTATTTAGTGTTTATCTTCCCACCTAGTACCACACAGACAGTCTTGTCACTTACCTGCCAAATGCCACGTGGCTCTGCAAAGCCAACTCGTTTGGCAGGGTTTTGAGACAGAGACGACCTGAAGGTCAGCCCATCAGCAGCTGCCTCCCCAGCCTCCCCCACCCAAGCCAATGTGAGAAGTGACCCTAATGAGACTGGGGCTATTTAGTGTTTATCTAACCAGTCTTTCACACAGGCACCAGGTAAATCAGGGAAGCTCAGATGCACCAGGAAAAGAGGTTCACATCCACAGTGCAATTAAAATCCAAGCCAAACACTGGAGTAAATTAGGTCTTTCACATCCAGGTAGCCATGCTGTGCCACAGCCAGCAGCTTTTTGTGCCCTCACATATGAAAGTTTGCTTAGTTATATTTTTTAATATACATGCGCACATGCATGTATACATATATAATATTATTATCTACATATTAAGAGCTCAGCATATCCTACCAGGCTATAAATGTGTTTATGTTGGCCCTCTAGAGCATTTCACAGCAGGCTGAGGTCAAGCAGGCGATGTAAATCAGTCTGGTTGGGTGATAATTGGGCAGCAGTTTTACAGCTCCAGTACAACATGTATTTCAATTACAGGGGGAAGGAAATCAGAAAGAGCATTTTATTTTACTCATTACTGTAAGCTATAAGGGACCATTAGATTACCTAAGCTTTTGAAATTCTCTCTTCAGCAGTTTCTGCCTTAAAACTCATGCAAACTTTCAAAAAAAAAAAAACCAAAACCAACCAACCAACAAACAAACAGGTTAATTTTCCATTCGCTGAACATTTCAGAGCTTTCATTGGAGTGGTGTTAATGCCATCCTTGGCCTACACAGGCTGAAAATATAATCTTTAAGAAGTGCATCTTTAGAAGTGATGGGATTGCCTCAGATTTTGATGGGAGCAAGATGAGACTCACATGCACTGTTTATGTCAAGATTGGTAAATATAACTTTTAACACTTTGCATTTAGAGTCGTTAGGCTTACATATTTAAATAATTTTTATTTTCAGGACTAAAAAGAAGCAAGAAAATTCAAAAAATATGAGTTGAATAATCCTGCCCTGCTTCCAGTTCCCTGTCCAGGTGCACGGGGAGTTTTGTTGTCACCTCAAAGCCCAGTGCAGGACCCTGTATAACTTATTTTCCTTCCATTTTTAAGTCAGAACGAAGCCAGCTCTTTGGATAAATATTGCTGCAAATAAGGAGTGAAACCACAAGGTCAGAAGATCTGTTTGGGGCAAAAATATCTGTTTTGATGTCCTGTGACCTAAATGTGAAATAAATACCAGATTTGCTCCGTTTGGTGTAAAAAAATGTCAATTCCTATTACCAAGGGGGAGAGGTGACAAAGGATGCTCTGTGTGGTGTGACCGTGGAGGGTCCCTTGGCCACCAAACTTGCTTCTGGTTGCTGTCCAAGGGCAGGAGGGCTTGGATGTGGGCAGGAGAGCAGGGATTCTGTGGGAGCACCGTGTGCTTTGTGCAGCTCTGCCCACTTCACTCGGCCCTGGGGACAGCACCGGGACCCTTTCCTCACCCCATTGCTGGGGCCTTGTTTGTCTGAACCAGCTCTCTGGGGCACCACGTTGTCTTCCATGAAAAGCGGATGCACTCACAGGAAAAATATGCTCAGGAACGCTGCATCGTTCCAAGCCTTGAGTCTTTTGGTGGTATTTGCTGCAAGGGAAGAGATGATAAATCTGTATGCAATTACAGCAACATGCTTTTGGTATCATCACACGCAGGCACTATGTCACAGACCTGTCACGGGGTTTCGCTGTGTGGAGGAAGCAAAATTTACAAGCAAGGTATAGCTCAGGCTTTGGCTGGAACATGAG